AATAGATGACCCCCACCCACCCCGGCTGAAACTTAGAGCACGCCACCCTCGAACTCAGAGATCCACCCACCTCCCGGGTGCTGGGATTAGAGATGTGCTACACCACAGCCTGGCAATGTGGTTTTTTTTCTTAAAGATGTGCTTTATTGTGTATGTGTGAATGTGAGTGTGTGGGTGTCCACAGAGGGTGTCTGATTCCCCTGGAGCTGGACTTGCAGGCTGCTGTGAGGGTGCAGCCCCACACTGAAGCTTCTCTGAGAGCTGAGTCCTGGGAGTCAGCCAGTGGTTTCCCTTTGAGAAGAATGCAAACAATGCTCTTAGCCACAGCTGCCCCTCTTCTGACTGTCAGCATGAAGTGTCATGAGCCTATACTTCACAGCTAGGGGTCCTCTCAAAACCAAGAGGCCCGGGGGGGGGAGGGGACACGACACGACTCTGTTGTCTAACACTAATTGTTAACAGCCCGTTTTTGGGGGGGGAGGGAGGGCTCCAGACAGGGTTTCTCCGTGTAGCTTTGGAGCCTATCCTGGCACTCACTCTGTAGCCCAGGCTGGCCTCGAACTCACAGAGATCCACCTGCCTCTGCCTCTCCCCGCCCACCAGCCCTTTACTTATTGAGAGAAGGTGACTCCATATGTGTCTGCCAGGACTCTGCTTTTGTTGTTGTTGTTTTCAAGATTTTGTTATAAACATTGAATGGGGTGAATGAAAATAATACTAGCTGTGCAATAAAATGATGGTTAACATAAAGGATTGTGTGTGTGTGCAGGCACACGTACATGTGTGTACAGGCACACGTACATGTGTGTATGTGCATGTGAGGGCTTGAGACTGACATCCTTTGTTGCTCTCTCTTAGTTTTTTGCGATGTGGTCTCTTCCTGCACGAGGGGCTCAAGGTTTGTCTACACTGTCTGACCTTGAACTCTGAATAGCCAAAGATGACTGGTCCTCCTGCTTTAGACCTCTTGAGTGCTGGCATTGCAAGTAGTGTGCCCAGTTTGTGTGGTGCTAAGTTTTGAATGTAGGGTCTAGTGCATGCAGGGTTAGGCAAGCACTAGATTTTATTCCTTGTGCCTTCTCTTCAATTTTATATAAGTAAAACCAGAGTTTATCTTCACATGTAATTAATTTCTTTTGAGATATCCATAATGACACGTGGCTGTTGTTCATTTGTTCTTGAGTACTGTATTCTACTAAGTAAATGTACAATCGAGGCACTTTTTAGTTGTTTTCACTATTTGGTTAATGTGTTTGGAACTTCCTTGAATGTAACTTGGTGAAACCATGACCATAGAACCTGTAAGGTCTTGGTAATCAAATCCAGTATGTATCATGAAATGTGTTTATAAAACTGACTGACTTACACTTCAGCCTGGAGTTTATGTGGTGTCCAGTTACTGCACACCCTCTGCAAACCCTGCATCATTTAATGATGGTTTCTGGCTGTGATTATAGTTGTCTGATGTGGATGAGGAAGAGCACCTTCTCCCGCCGTAGAGGGATCCCTCTCATCATCCTTCATTTGGGTTGTGCATCTTGCTGATTTATAGGACACTTTTATCGAATCTGAGTTTGTGCTCTCTGTTGGCTATTTTTAAAAGATTTACTGCTATTAATTTATATGTGTGAATGTTTTGCCGGCGTGTGTGTATACACCATGTGCATGCTGACGATGGAACCCAGACAGAGGGCTGCACTCTCTGGACCAGAGTTAGAGATGGCTGTAAGCTGCCTTGTTGCTTATGAGGAACCAAACTCAGGTCCCCTAGTGCATGGGTGCTCATGGTCTCTCAACCCCCTCTGCTGGCCTGTTTTACCTATAACTTTCTTTTTCACTCTTTACGATTGATAGTTGTGTGTGTGTGTGTGTGTGTGTGTGTGTGTGTGTGAGAGAGAGAGAGAGAGAGAGAGAGAGAGAGAGAGAGAGAGAGAGAGAGAGAGAGAGAGTACATACTTGGTGAGATTCAATTTTTGAAATGTGTCAGCAAGCTGTGACCTGGTGTTTGACCTATTTTGTTAAATGTGCTTCAAAAGATGCTTTTTGTGGAAGTGGGCAGGTCACTTGCATTGTTTTGAGACTGGGTCTTACTATGTACATCTGGCTGGCCACGATACCTCCCAAGTGCTGAGCTTAAAGGGGTGTGTCCCCACACCTGCTGGCCATGTCCATATTAGCAGCTCCGTCCCTCCATCATCGCCTGCTGGGTGATGCTGAGGACCCCCTGTGTGCTGGGCAAGTGCTCTGCCAACTGTGAGCTGCATCCACAGCCCTGATTTTCTCTCTGGTAATTTTAACACCAGTCTGGTGGTCAGTCTTTGTATACACAGTCTGCTGTGTGATCCCAGGCACATTTGTTTTTTGTTTATCCTGCCTTTTCTGTGCACTCTTTTTTTTCTTTTCCTTTTTCCTTTCTGATCAAGTATTTTGCTTTATTCCCTTTGCCTCCTTTTATTAGGTTGACAGGTGTATACTGTTTTTATATCCTCTGGAGATTTCCCCATGAATTTTATAAATTGTTCAAATCAGGAAGTCCTCGCTACTTCTAAAATAATGAATGCATAGATCCTAGAACCCCGGATTTCCCATTGCCTCTTGTGGTCCCTGTCAAATGACCCAAGATTTATAAGGGCTTTGTAAAATTGGCTTTAAGAGTTGTCTGTAGAGTTTTTCATTTTTATTCCTTCATCCATGGTCATTTTCTTGTGCCTGAGAGAACTTATTACATTTCCTAACCTGTTTGCCTGTTAGGTGTCACATTCTTTGTTCGTGTGAGCATGAAAAAGATCCTGTGGGCTGTTTTGTTTGTCTTTACATTTCAGTTTAATTTTGAGGAGCTTTTACTGAACATAAAATTCTAGGTCACTAGTTCTCTTTCTCTTTGAAAGCAGAGTTTACAGTTAAGTAGGTGGAGACTAGGAGGTGACGCTACTGCTACTCGGTGGTAGAGAACTTGCCTAGGGTCCTTCATCAGTGAGTTGTAGTCACACATACATGGAAAGTTTCTCCGTATCCTTTCATGATCTGAGAGCTCACTTCTAGTGCTGAACATTTTGTTATCTGAATGCACCACAGTTTATCTACCGAAGAACATCTTAGATACTTCCAAATTTTGGAGATTATGAATGAAACCTTTGTAGATCTACATGAAGGTTTTATTGTGACAGCTTTCAGTTCTTTGTGGTAACGATAAAGGGGTAGTTACTGAACCTCATGCTGAGTGTATGTTTGGTTTCCTGAGAGACGCTAGGCTGCCTTCTGCAGTGCCGTCATCCCGCACTCTCACCTCAGCCGAGGCCTTTGGCTGCTCCCCGTCCTTGCCAGCTCGTGGTTCATAGTTGAGTATACGCTTGCCATTATTTTGCAGGGATACTTCTGTCTAGTCTAAGATGCTTTTTTAATTCTTAATTTGCCGAATTTTGCTATGAAGTGATGCGTCTGCAGCACTATTGATCCACCTGACTTTCCCCCTCGTGTTGATCCAACCTCCCATTTATAGACTGAGCTCAATTGTAGGTCACTGAAACTTTTTAAGTAACAGTTTTTATTTTTATATATTTTGTGTGTTTATGTATGTATTCAATCATGTCATCACCCTGCCCCCAGGCCCTGGCGCTCACAGTTGAATTAGATCTGATGGTGTCGGTCTGTCCTGGAGAAGTACTGGCTTTCTTCACTGCCTTTACTAGTTTTGTCTCTGGTAATAAGGGCCTTGTGAAATGAGTTTTCTATAAGAGATTGGCTGTTTTGCTAGTGTTCATCTTTCGGGAAATTGCGTTTGGTTTCAGATACTGTATAATGCTTTCTTAGTTTTTTAATTGGATAAGCTAGTCAGTGAATAACTTTTAAAGAAAGTAAAAATGTAAAGATGATTATCTACAATAGAGTACAGGTGTGCTGGAAGATGTCAGTACCCAAGGACTTGTGGTTCAGTAGGTTACATACAGGAATGAATGATCCCAAATAGGCAAGTTTATAGACACTGGAAGTAAATTAGTGATGCTTTCTGGGAAATGGGTATGAAGTGGTGAGTTTATTGGGAGGTGACAGCTCTATGGGTACAGATTTCTCTTTGACTTAATGAGGATGTTGTGAAATTGCAGTCATTGCAATCCCTTTCTGAATAGACTGTAGAGGTCTTTGAGTTATACACTTAAGTGGCCACATTATATGGGATGTGAGATATATATATTTGGAGAAAGGGTCTCACTATGTAGTCTTGGCTATTCTGGAATTCCCTATATGTGGACCAGGCTGGCTTCAAATTTCATAGTTATAATTCAGTAAAGCTTAAAGATACCCTTTTATGTTAATGGGAATTTGGAGGCAAACGTAGGAGCACACCTTAGATCTAGCATCCTACCTTCAAATCTTCAAACCCTGTAGAATGCTATATGATTGTATTTATTAATTGTGTGCGTGCATGCATGCGTGCATGGCTGCATACCACAGCACATGTGAAAGTCAGGCCAGTTCTCTCCTGCAACATGTAGGTCCCAGGGGTAGATCTCAGATTGTTAGGCTTGGCAGTGAGCGTGTTTACCCACTGAGCCATCTTCCCAGCCCAAAGATTTTATTGTTTGTTTATTTTAGATTATTTACTTCAGAATGTGAGGGAGATAAAACTAAAAGGACTTTCTGAGCTTAAGATTAAAACAGTTGATTTTTGAGACAATGACAAAAAAAGACTATGTATTGTATAGTTTCAGGTGGTAAAGGTCCAGAAGATTTACTGTAGCATCTTCGTGTTTTCTTGGACTTTCTCAGACGGTTGTATGTGTGCCTGAGTTGAGAAAGCAGGTTGTAAAATCCAGGTTGTTGGGTGAGGAGGTGCTCTTGAGCCTATGAGGCCAGGACTTGGGAGGCAGTTTGCTACAAGTGACATATCCTGTCTCAGAACCAAACCAACCAAAGAAAATACTGCAGTTCTATACAGTGTTGGGACTTGGCTGCACAAACACCTATTACTAAACATACATATGTTATTTTATCTCACTCAGTTCAAAGAAGAAATCTCTAAACGTTTCAATTCTCATACTGACCAACTTGTGTTGATATTTGCTGGGAAAATTCTAAAAGATCAAGATACTTTGAGTCAGCATGGAATTCATGACGGACTTACAGTTCATCTTGTCATCAAAACACAGAACAGGTATGTTTTCTTAAAATCACCAGTTTCGGCTTTAAGGGGCTTTCCTTATCATTAGTGTTTTTCTTTATGTTGATAGCAGAGCGTTTAGGTGAAAAGTGGCAGTGTGACTCCATACCAGCACTGGTGCCGTCGTGTTCGCTAGGTGAATGTTTTATGGAGAGTTGGGTGCAAACCCAGGGCAGTTCCAGTTGTCAAAACTGTGATGAAATTGCATCCCAGGAGACAGGCTCTCCCTCTGGTTGACAACAGGCCTCCAGCCTTTCCTTCTCCCAGCATGGGGTCCTGGGAAACGCCAATGCCTTGGACCGACAGGAGCCTGACAGCCGAAGAGAGCCGCTTGGGACAGGGTTGCAGAACCAACCCCTCATGAGCTCTCCTTTAGCACAGCCTATGCCTTGGCATGCTGCCAGCTTTTAAAATAATTAAAGTGTCCTTTTTGAGACTTTATTGTTACCTTTACAATTGCGTGTTTGTCTGTACATGGGTGCGTGTACATGAGTGCAATGCCTTTGGAACTAGAGTTGCAAATAGTTGTGAGCCTCCTGGTGTGGGTGCTGGGACTTGAACTTGGTCCTCTGGAAGAGCAGCCAGTGCTCTTAACCACTGAGCATCTCTCCAGCCCCTTAAAGTGTCTTCTTAAGGGGTTTTTTTTTTGTTTTTGTTTTTTGTTTTTTTGCTTTTAACAGTGTCGTGGGCTGAAATTAAATTGCCTGTGGAACTAGAAAATGGCGAGTTTTGTGGGTTAGTGACCATGGATTATCTTCTATGAGGTGACTTGTTGGTTCTTTCTCATAGTCACCATGAAAGTAATGGAACACTCATCTGTGTGTTATATTCAAAGAGGACAGACAGTAGTAATTTTATAAAGTTTACTGCTTCCAGTATTTGTTCCTGATGCTTAGTCATTTTAGACAGGGTGCTGATGACAGTTCTGTTATGAGAGCTTACCCTTTGTTTCTGGCTATGGAATTTTAGAAATTCCTTCAAAAATAATGAGTTCTGCATCTTATATTGTGATTTAATTATTTTCATTAGGCCACAAGATAATCCAGCTCAGCAAACAAATACCACTGGAAGCAATGGGACCAATACATCATCTCCTAACAGTAACTCCACATCTAGTCCTGCTGCTAACAGCCCTTTTGGCTTAGGTGAGTGCTGTTCTGGTGGTTCATATTGTTATTGTTATTCTTTTTTTTTTTTAATAGGGATGGGGTAAAAGGTTCTTTTCTTCAAGGGATAGTTTTAGATAAAATGACAGGATAAAACATAAATCACTTAAACTTTTTTTTTTTTTTTTTGGTTTTTCGAGACAGGGTTTCTCTGTATTGTTTTGGAGACTGTCCTGGAACTCGCTCGGTAGATCAGGCTGGCCTCGAACTCACAGAGATCCGCCTGCCTCTGCCTCCCAAGTGTTGGGATTAAAGTTGTGTGCCACCAACGCCCAGCTCACTTAAACAATTTTTAAAACTTTTCATAGTTTATTTCTTCAATTGTGTTAAAAAAAAAAAGTAGCTTGGGATACAATATGTTTGATTGGCTTACATTTGTATTTAGTAAATGACATACCTCTGTTTTATATGCAAGAAATGTATGCTATGTGTACCTAGTATTCGGACTGCCACATAATTGCCTATGAGGATATAGTTAGTAGATGATACGGTATGATCAAGTGATTGATCATTTTTCTCTTGTACAAGAGAGGTATTGGGTGGACACTAGTTACTTGTTATCTTTGTTTTGCCTTGAACTTGGGTCTTTCTATGCTGGCTTTCCTGGTGTGGAGATTGCAGGCATACAAAAATCACTCTGGACCTACATTGGTTACTTGAAACTGCCCTAGGGGCTGGAGCGATAGCTCTGTGTTTAAGAGATGACTCAATGCTCTTCAGTTCAGTTCAGTTCCCAGCACCCACACTGTGGCTCACACCCATCCGTAACTCCAGTTCCCAGGGATCTAACACCGTCTTCCGACCCCTGTGGACACTAGGCATGCACATGGTGCACATGCATACATATATGCAAGCAAAACACGCATGCACATAAAAAATAGTTAAATCTAATACTTGAGCCCAAACCTTCCTTCTGCCTCCCGTGGTCCTCACCTCAGCGCCTTTGCCCTCCTCTCCTGCCGGGTCCCTGTACGCTGTGCAAGCACCTCACCCTCACTTCTCCAGCCCACACTGCTATTCTTCATTCAGTTGCATATGTTGAGATTTTGGTGAGGAAAAACCTTCTGAAGCTAACAAACAAAAGTTGGGCTAAATAGAAGAGTTGCTTAAATGTCAGTATCAGCCCCCAAAGGCCACAGCTTGTACAGTGCTTTGGAGTTTTTCTTAGGGTCCTTTTCACGTTGGGAGCCATACGTCCTACCCTTGGCCCTTTTCATGAGAAGTTTTGGGTAGCTCGATTACAGTGCGCCATGTATGCACATGGCGCAGACGGTTGCATAACACACAACACTAGTAATAAATAGGAGCTTTTTTAGGTTCACACAGGGAGGAGTCTCCAGCTGCTGCTCTTCTCCTTCCAGGACTGATTGGTGAGGCTGTAAGCACCGTCTTTCATCCCCAGGCTTCCTGATAACCAGCTCCATCACCCTGCACCTTAGCCTCCATCAGTGGGACCATCTGCAGGGCCTGCTGTCAGAACAAAAGGCTTCAAAATGCCTAGGCCTTTAGGAACCCTGTGAGGGAACAAATACGTTGTCTAATAACAGGCAGGTTAAAAATTATGTCTAGTTGGCTCTGTTCAGTCTCAGAGTTGAAAATCTGCTAAGTTCGACTGTAGGATGTATGTGGGGTGGGAGGTGGGGTCCACTGTGGCAAACTCAGGGAAGAAGAGTTCAGAAGAGGAAAAGATTTTGGCACATGGTTTCAGCTGATGGGCAGCGGCTGCATTAAGACCTGTGGTGTGGTAAGGAAGTGTAGCGGCAGCTTGGGGGCTTCTGCCTGTCACCGCAAAGATGAATGAGAAGAGGCAGATTGAGCTGTGCTTCATTTCAGAGCTGGTAGTTTGGGGAGGCCGCGTCTCCTCTTCTGCCAGCAGATGGTGTGGTGTGGGGAGGACAGAAACAAGGTAGTTGATCATTTCAGAGCTCAGGGTTGGCTCTCGGGTCAGACAGTCAGCCATGAGACGGGTAGTGTCTGTGTCTTCCGTGTCACACCTTTCTTTCGTTCCTCTCATTCCTTGGGTGCCTGGGTTCAGGAAGGTCTTGAAACCCTGAAAGTAATTAGTGTCTGCTTGGTGTCAGTGCTGTAATGACAGGTACATCTGGTCTGCTGTGGGTGAGATTAGCTTGGGACAAACCATTAGCAGTGAGTGCTGTATGGTGGTGTTGAGTATTCTGCAGATTTTTCTCTCCAGTGTGGAGTACAAGTGTGTCTTTATAACACAGATGTAGAAGTCCTCTATCCATAGCAGCAGGAGGTCCCTTCAAATGTACTGCACTGCATAGTCTATTGAGCTACGAACTCATTAGCGCCACAGTCACCTTCATCAGTGTCACCAGCTGAGGATCAAGGCTTTGGGGCAACACTTCATATCTAAGCCATAGCATAGGAATTAAAGCTGAATAGTATAATAGTAAGTATAATCTAATATCATAAACATGAATGAGAGAAGTTGCTTTGTTTTAAATGATTTATATATTATTGAGTTAATAATTCTTCGTGTTTAGCACAAGCTTTTGATTTTCATTTTTGTTTTCTCCTCTTATCCTATAAGGTGGACTTGGAGGACTTGCAGGTCTGAGTAGTTTGGGTTTAAACACCACCAACTTCTCTGAACTACAGAGCCAAATGCAGCGTCAGCTTTTGTCCAACCCTGAGATGATGGTGCAGATCATGGAAAACCCCTTCGTCCAGAGCATGCTCTCCAACCCTGACCTGATGCGACAGCTGATTATGGCCAACCCACAGATGCAGCAGTTGGTACAGAGGAACCCAGAGATTAGCCACATGCTCAATAACCCAGACATAATGAGACAGGTACATGGAAAAATACTTCTATGTGTCACTTTCTGTGGTTCAGAAATTACCTGTGTGCATCACAGAGTTAAAGAGAATGCCAGACGTTGTTTAAGGAAAGTCAGCAAAACACTAATATTAATTTGGTCTGTTTGAACTCTGACCTTTCTGCAATGCTTGGAAATTATTTTAAAAACACTCATTAGAGGTCAAACCTTCATTGCCCATTTCTGCTCTGTGCTGTGGGTCTGGGAGAAGGGTCTTAGAGTACAGAGTGGAGAAGTGGTGTCAGTGGCCTGCTCCTGCCTCATACATTAAAAAACACACACACACACACACACACACACACAGTTTGGGGGGAGGGGGAACACTGTCAAAATATATTATATGAAAAAATTTTCAATAAAAACGTTTAGATTGGGCATGATGGTGCCCAGCTTTAATATCAGTACCTGGGAGACAGAGGCAGGAGGATCTCTTGTGAGTTTGAGGCCAGCAGGGACTACATAGAGGAATCAAAAAATGGGGAGGGTGTAAGGGTTTAAGAAACAAACAAAAGTCCATTTGTGGAGATGGACCATTCACTCAAACTGCTTTGTGATATCCCATAAATATATATTGTTTTTTTTTTTGTTTTTGGTTTTACGAGACAGGGTTTCTCTGTATTGTTTTGGAGGCTGTCGGTCCAGCCTGGCCTCGAACTCACAGAGATCCGCCTGCCTCTGCCTCCCAAGTGCTGGGATTAAAGGCGTGCGCCACCACCGTCTGGCAATATATATTGTTTTTAGAGATGAAATCCACCAGGAATTTTAAGAAGTACTTTCTTAATTTAAATATTATAACAAATTTGGTTTAAAATTCTTAATTGGTTTTTATGGTTCTAAAGTTGGATGGCATAGAACTAAGCAAATGAGTCCGGATTTCTAGCAGGCAGAGCCAGGTGGGGAAGCAGTCACTTTCCTGGTAGAGCTAGGATGCTGACTTGACTTGACTGGAATCCTCTGCTTTATATTTTTCAAAATGGCTGTTTAAAAGTTTAGTTTGACTACCTGGTACTTAGCACCAGTGACTCCTTTCAGTTTTCTGGGGCCTGGTGCAGATGCTAGTCCAAGTCATTGGCTTTCATAAACTTTAGCTAGTTAAACCCTGAAGGAATTCCTTGCTTATTTCAGTGATCTTTTTTAAAATGAGATTTCTTTCTTAGACTCTGGAACTTGCCAGAAATCCAGCAATGATGCAGGAAATGATGAGAAACCAGGACCGAGCCTTGAGCAACCTAGAGAGTATTCCTGGGGGCTACAATGCCTTACGACGCATGTACACAGACATCCAGGAGCCCATGCTGAATGCTGCTCAGGAGCAGGTGACCAGTGTTCCAAGGCACAGGCTGGAGAGTTGTTTCCCTGGAAAGTGACACCATATCTGTTAATCTGTTTTTCTTTTCTTTCAGTTTGGTGGTAATCCATTTGCTTCCTTAGTGAGCAGTACTTCCTCCGGTGAAGGAAGTCAGCCCTCTCGAACAGAAAATAGGGATCCACTACCCAACCCGTGGGCTCCGCAGACTTCCCAGAGTTCACCAGCCTCTGGTAGCACCACTAGCACTGTGAGCGGCTCTGCTGGGGGTGCCACCAGTACCCCAGCTGGGCAGAGTACCTCAGGACCAGGCTTGGTGCCCGGAGCGGGAGGTGTGTGTGCCTTGCATTGCTAATGAAACTGTTGCTGATGCTACCTACCCATTCCTGTGCATCTCTTTCATGAAGACTCTTTGTTGCAGGCTTTTGTATATAGCTGTGGGGTATAACATACGTGCCTTAAATTTCTGTTGAGTATGTACAAGAGTCCATGGAAATCAGGGAGGGATGTTGGATCCTTCTAGAACTGGAGTTCTAGCTGGTTGCAAACCATCATGTGGGTGCTGAGAATTAAGCCAGGTTCTCCATAAGACCAGTCAGCTCTCCCTCTTACTTGCTGCTCTGTCTCTAGCCCCTACAGCATGTTCTGATCTGCATATTTGTTGTGAAATGGTTAAATGTATGTAGTCACCGTGCTACACAGAAGATCTCCAGAGCTCATTCCTGGGAAAATTTTAAACAGGCATGACATTTTAAGATGATAATGAAATCACCTGGCTACTTTTCAGAGACCAGGTATTGGGTGTTGTGGTTTGGAATGGAATGCCCCTCACAGGTTCATGTGTTAGAACCTCAGCTGTGGGCACTATTTTGGAAGGTATTGGAAACTTTAGGCGATGCATAGGTAGGTCACTAGAGGTGGGTCGTAGGATGCCCCTTCCCTGCTTCCTGGCTGCCATGATATGAACTGTCATCTTTGCTACAATCTCCATGCTTTGTGGACTGTCATCAAAACCATGAGCCACAATAAACCCTCCTTTTCAATTGTCTTAAGTCCAATATTTTGTCACAGTTATGTAAAGTACTAATGTGTTGAGAGAGTCAGAATTAATGAAAGGAACTTGATTCTGAGGTCATTTGGGTGACCCAGGACATGAAATATGACTGACTAAAAATAAGCCATGGGGGGCTGGAGAGATGACTCAGTGGTTAAGAGCACTGACTGCTCTCTGGAAGAACCTGGGTTCAATTCCCAGCTCCCACATGGCAGCTCACAACTGCCTCTAAGTCAGTTCCAGGGAATCTGACACCCTCATACCAATACACATAAAAAAAAAAAATTTGGGCTGAAGAGATGGCTCGGTCGTTAAAGGCTAGGCTCACAACCAAAAATATAAAAATAAGCCACATACCCGCTTACTGATGGAGGAGTAAAACAAATTGCCCTCATTAATTATTACCATGATTATACTGTAATTGTTAGATACAAGGTGTGAGATAGGCGATGGACATCTAAATCTGCATTTTCCTAAGTTGTTGCCACACTAATTCAGACTTTTCCATCTTTTGCTTCATTCATTCATTCTTTCTCTCAGTCAGCAAGCAATGTTTAGTCCTAGGTATTCATAGACATAGACTACACAGAGTGTAGTTCTTTTGTCTGTTTGCAATCATTTTGAAATCCATTTATGCTGTGTATGTTTGTTTTGCTGACAAGTATTTCCTTTGGGGGTATAAGCGTCCTTCATTACCGTGTGTGCGTGCGTGCGTGCGTGTGTGTGTGCGTGCGTGTGTCCTTTCAGCCTAGTTTTCCTATATGTAAAGCATAAGGATTAGGCATGTGCCGGGTCCTCCGGCAGGGGGGCGGCTGGTCCAGCCAGTCTCTTTCTGGGGCTGATGAGCAGGATGGTGAGTATCGACAATTCAGACCCTCCCCCCAAGGTGGCAGGTAGCTAGGCAGGGGGCAGTCTTACATCAGGTCTGGCTGAGTCACCCCCAAAGGAGGTGACAGGTCGCCACACTCTAGCCAGGCTCAGGAGGTTACACTGGGCCTCGCATCCGAGCCTTTTTTAGGCCCAACAAGCATGGAGCCTGGAAAACAGAATTGAGACTCAGATAAAATGAAAGCACCTTAGCAGAGTTGAATCTTAGCAGAGGCCAGAATAGACTTGAAAATTGTGACCTCTGCTGAGTTGGAATGAGTGTGTGGGATGATGTGTGTGAACTACCGCTCCAGTGTTAGCATAGTCGGAGATTAGGATATGTCTGTGGTACTCTGAAAAGATTGGTCCTGACTTCACACCTTTAGATCATTGCTGTTGATGGGATCCTTTCCCTCTGTGCTCTTTTAACTGAATTTTCAGTACTGTTGGTATGTGAATCTGTTTTTGAGTCTAGCAATATTCCATGAAGGCTAGAATCTGGGAATTGAGGTGTTCAGGTTTCTGGTTGTTTTTCACTTAACATTTTGTTTGTAAGTCTTTTAATTTTTCTTCCTGGGTTCATTCCCATTGTTACATGAAAGGTTTTGCTGTTGTTGTTTTCCTGAGGGAAACTTTGTATACCTGATGATTAATTGCACATTGTCAGTAAGAGTGTTGTTACTGAGGATTTCTAAAGCAGTTTTGTAATCACACATCCTAATAAGATAGTGTCAAGAGAAGTTGTTTTTATTTCCTGGGCTTCAGTTGGTCTTATGATCTATACCTACGGATTCTCAATATCAGTCCAAAGGCCAGGTCCCACCAAATTGGAGTGCAGAGCGGCTGCAGTGCTAACCTGCAGGCTTTCGCAGCCAGACTCTGGTCCGTAATCCAACTAACAGGGACACTACTGAGGTGGGGAGACCAGGCGAGGTAACAGTGACTGATTCCCACCCCAAAAGCCAAGTTCTAGGGTCTTGATGTCAGACCTCATGAACCAGAATCTTCGATGGGAAGATATGAGATCTGTGGCAGAAGGAAGTTACTATTTTTAGATTAGCATAAAAAGCATTGGGTTGCTGGGCAAGGAGGCAGGTGCAGGCAGATCATTGAGTTCCAGAACAGCCAAGGCTACACAGAGAAACTCTGTCTGGAAAAACTTTTGAAAAATAGCATTGGGTTTCACAGTGGCAGCTTTGTATAAATCTTTATACATTTTTCTTATATGCTCCCCTTTCCTTCTGTCCTCCCCGTGTCCATTTTCCCAAACTGATTTTCTTTCTTCTCCCTGTTAATCCCAACATCTGCTTATGTATTGCATGTGTTCAGCTGTTTACCACTTCTGTTAAGATCTTTCTCCCCTCTTTGATCACCTTTTCATGGTTTAAACAACCTTATATCTAGTTCCATATGTGAGAGAAAATGTATCTTAGTTTGGCTTGTTTTACTCAGCATAAGGATTTCTAGTTGCTTTCATACATGTTCCTGCAAATTGTAATTTTTTACAGTTGCATAAACTTGCGTTGTATATATAACTCACATTGTTTGTCGATTGGTGGACATCTAGGCTGGCCCTTTAGCCTGACTGTTGTGAATAACACAACAATATGTCACGTAAGAGTCCTTTAGGTCTGTACCCAAGAATGGATTGTGTCTGGGCTAGGATGCTCCATATTGATTTCCATAGGGGCTGCATAAGTTTATAGCCCATGTGCAGTGGCGTAGGTCTCATCTTACCTATCCTTCTTGCCAGTGTTTTTCTAAGCATTCTAGCTGGAACAAGATGGAATCCCAAAGCAGTTTTAATTTGCATTTCCCTGATGCCCAAGGATGTTCAACTTTTCAAGTATTTGTTTGTCTTTTGTGAACTGTCTACTTAGCTTATTATTGGGTGGACTTGCTGAGTCAGTGATTTGCGATTTTTTTGTTTGAGGCCAGCCATAGTTTTAGTCAGTGTAAGTTAGCATGCTAAGTCCATGGAGAAACTTCAGTTTCTGGTAAAAGCTAATTTCTGAAGCTATCTAAGGTTTCATAACATTGACTGGGTGTTCTCATTTAAAAGAAAATTAATCGCATCCCTGAGCTAATATCATTTTTTAAAGATTATTTTATGTGGATGGGTGGTTTGCCTGCACGTGTGTCTGTGCCATGTGTATACAATGTAGCCCTGGAGGAGTTATAGACTGTTGTGAGCTGTTATGTGGGTCCTGGGACTGGAGCCTAGGTCCTCTGAAACCGGGACCAACTCTAACCGCTGAGTCATTTCTCATCCCCGTTTCATTTTTTGAGACTGAGTCTCTTGTGCCACAGAGCAGCTTGGAACTTAGCGTCCTACCTGGGCCTCCTGAGTGATCTCCTGCCTGGCTGGAATGTTTCGATACATGTTTAGTCTGGTCATGTCTATGTATGCTTTATTCTTTGATATGTAACAGCCATTTCATTGGTAAAGTAATGCATACTCCGCTGTGCCTTAAAATGGTTTGCCTCTCTTATTTTACTTATATAATTAATTTGCACTTATAATTAAGAAAAATAGGGCGCTAGAGAGGTTTCTTGTGGCACACTACAAAGCCATATGGAGCATTGTGACACCATAATCCCTTTAGGTGTCCTCTGCCTTTGTAGTGTAAGAGCACACAGCAAAGAGTCAGCATAACTGTTCCTGCAAAATGACACAAGTCACTGAATGTGGCTTTCAGTAGCTTCCACATTTCTACGATGGTCGCTTTGTGGGCTCTATGAAAAACAGGCTGTGAAAGCCAACTTGAAACTTGATAGTGTAGGTACACCACAAACACAAGACTTGGGGCAAATTAGAAGGGTAACTGGAAAAAGTAAAGTGCTTTAAGCCAGATAAAGGGACATTAGTTCAAAACCTCGAATGGAAGTGAAGAATTAAATAGTTCTGTTATCATTATCTTTCCTCCAGTTATGTTAGGACTGCTCTTTACCTGAGGGAAGCATGCTCACTTCTTTCTGGTGCCTCTGAGTGCCAGTGTCAGAATTCTTTTTGTTTTTTCTTCTTGTTTGTCGAGACGGGGTGAAAAGGAAATAAGAATCACACGCTTGGTGAGGGTATAAGAGATTATTTACTGTGGGAAGGTACTTACAAGAGAAACGGCAACCCAGGTTCGTCTCAGCAGCTTCCGAGACCCAGCCAGGCCTGCGCCTCTCCTCATTCTTTTATCCCTATCTCCCGCGCACCTGTAGCCTCACCCAGAATGGGCGTGGTCAGTGGCGAGGGTACCTGATCTCTCCCTACAACAGGGTTTCTCTGTGAAACAGTCCTGGTTGTCCTGGAACTCTCTCTATAGACTAGGCTGGTCTCACAAGTGTCAGAATTCTTGTGCCTTGGAGACATTGCTGAGTAAAATGAGGGTTGATGACCCTTATTAGGCTAGGGTATGCTGGAGGAAGGGGTGGCTAGGGTGTAATGGCATTTTCTCATGCTTCAGAAACCGTGCAATTTGAAACTTAGCTGTTTAGCTACTTGTAAAGGTTGTCATTTCATATTTGGGGACCATAGTTGATTGTGGGCAACCAAACTGCATAAAGTGAACTTACTGCTAAGGGGTAATGGCCATATGCCACTTTAAGTAGCTAAAATTTAAGTACAATATACAGTTAAAATGTTAATATGTGTTAATCTGGGTTTTGTTTGTTTTTTGTAAATAAAATTGTAGCTAGCATGTTCAACACACCAGGAATGCAAAGCTTGCTGCAGCAGATAACTGAGAACCCGCAGCTTATGCAGAACATGCTGTCTGCCCCGTACATGAGGAGCATGATGCAGTCACTGAGCCAGAACCCTGACCTTGCTGCACAGGTAAGCTGGTAGCTGTGTGCCAGCGCATTGTGACCCGCACAGCCCATGACTCTGTCTGTCTTGGCACATTGTCCTGTGCTCTCTCAGCATCCTGGAGTGGACAGACTGCACCTCCAGCTTTGGGGTGTTTACTCTGTATACTCGAACAGTCTCACTTCTGCTATTTGCTGCTGCGATGTGCTTTAAAAGCCACACTGAAGCTTTTAGAGAATTTGCTGTAATCGCACTCCTCCTGTTTGTCATTTGGTACATGACTACCACCCAGAGCAGCACTTGCTGCTGGGCTTGAACACCTGGAGGGTGTGCCACGGACTGATTGTCCAGGGCTCCTGCTTGTTATGAGTTTAGGGTGCTTTCCTTTATAGCTCCTCTCACTTACTTGTAAAGGCTCTTGGATAATTTTATCTTAAAATGTGTGTGTATGGGTAGTTCTTGTGAATGCTGGCTGTGTGAGTTTATGACTAAGTGCTTGATGTGAATGCATCCTGAGCCGCTTGTGTCACTTAGGTAGCTAAGATGTAGAAATGTGTAAGTGACCCTTTCCCGTCTTTCCAAGTATATAGTGACAACACTAGATGTGTATGTCATTCTTAAAATTCACCCTCAGCAAGCATATTCCATGTGGGATTATGTTTATCAAGGACTTGGCGGCTTCACACACCTGTTTTCTAACTGCTAAGCAAAAACACTGACAATGCTAGGTGGTGTCTCTCGTGGGAGAATATTTTACAACTTTTACAGTGTGCTCCGGCATCCGGTGGTTTATAGTTGATCTTTTGAAGCTTCAGTATTTAAAATATCTTAAATGTGAAAGCTTAATTGTGGTATGAAGGTTCAGGTAAGTTAGGAGAAATAATAAGTGAAAAGGTAATTTTTCTGTGACAGGCTGTTTTTGAATAATTTAAAATGAAAAGTGAGTGTGATAGTGGCTAACAACCTCACAGCTAAGCAGTGTTTGTCTGGGACAATGAAGAGGCCGTCCTGGCCTGGAGCAGCTCCTGCTCTATTCACTGCTCGCCCTGCAACACTCACTCAGTGTCCATGAAACATGAACTGTCTCCTGCTTTGACGGTGTTGAAGGAGGGAGGGGAGCACTTTTTTTTTTTTTCAGGATTTTCATGCATTTGTTCTTCAGCGTGGTTACCTAATTGAGGACAAAGATCATTTATTTCCTCCCTAGACTTTGGACAGTAAACAGGCTGTCAGTCCAGCATTGGAGAGTGATACACAATCTGTCTCTCTTGAATTTAGCAGTCTCTGGTTTGCTGGCTGTGTATGCTGATCTTACCTTCAGGCGGTCACACCGTAGTTTGAAGTTTAGGTGGTACCCCAGTTTCTACCTGTGGTGCTAGTGAGGTGGAATCCAGATGTTAATCTTGGTGATCTCATTACATCTTTGGGTCTTGGGTATTTTAGCACTATCCCAGAGGGCTGTTGGTGCTAGTTTGGGCTGATTTCACCTAGCAGCTCCATTTCTCTGGTCAATTGGTTGCTGTTTTGTGGTTATTCTGGACCTAATATCAAGTGTTAGTAGTGGGCAGGTAGGTAATGGTGGCTCCAGATGTGCGTTTTCTCTGCTTGCTGTCTGTGTGTTGAGGTTTCTGAGCAAGCCGTCTGCATTTAAGCTTTTACATATTGATGGTCTTTTACTCTGTAGTGTAGCCAAAAGCGCTACCTTCCTGAGAGCCCGGTTTCCCACACCCCCCTCAAAGGCAGAGGGTCACCTTCTTTCAAGGAAAAGGCGACGAAACAATTGCTTTTATTTTTTAGGACCCAGCATGGCATCTATCATCCACCACTCTGGGTGAAAGAGAAGCTACCCTCCCTCCCTTCCTCCCTCCTTCCTGCCTACCTTCTTCCTTTCTTTCTCCCCAGCTCCTTGTGGATAGAACTTCCCTGCCCCCTTTTTATTTATGTTCTCCCTTCCTCCCCTTTAAGTGCCAATTTAGGCACTTGGAGGAAGGTAGAATATTAACCCAGGTACATTACTTGTTTCAGATATTTCCAGTTAAAATTGTTTGAACCCTTGCCCCATAGATGATGCTGAATAACCCCCTATTTGCTGGAAACCCTCAGCTTCAAGAACAAATGAGACAACAGCTCCCAACTTTCCTCCAACAAGTGAGTAAGAAGACGCTGCTGTCTGCAATGGTCTGCTTGGAGGGTCTGACGGTGAGCGTGTCCAGTGTGCAGGAACGCGTGACTCTGCCCACTTGCGGACACTGAGCCGACCTTCCCAGCCCGTGTCGCTCCTGGCTGTGCTTCTGCTGTGAGGAGAGAACCGTGTTGTCTTTGCTCGTGAGGATTTAGGGTTTGGAGTGCCGCGTTGAGGTCACAGATGACTCCCTTCCCTCCGCTAGCCGCACAGTGCCTCGTAGCACACACACTCCAGAGTCTGCACTAGTTTTGAGGGACAGGGAAGGAAGCGCTGCCCTCTCTGCTTCACAGGTTGGGTTTTGTTGTGATGTCTCAGTTTCTTCCAAGTTAGTAGAATGCTTGTTCTCCAGGAGTAGACCTCATTTCCTCCAAACCCGAAATAGTAAGTTAAAGTCGTCAGTGTTGTCATATCGGGGAGGTTTTTAAAAAAGGTGGTGCCCAAAGATTGTCATACTATTATTTAAAAGAGAGTGGTGTTGGTGCTCTTGAAGCTGCAGGGTCATATCTGAAATGATTGCTAGGCCAGCCAGTCGGTATCCACTGTCAGTGGTTGTCCTTGGTCTGCTGGAGTGGTCTAAGCTCCCTCGTGTCAGTCAGGCGTGGGTGTTCGAAAGTAACAAATTAAGCTTGGGACACTGTTGATTCAACTTTGGAACAATTGTTTGAGATGGTAAACTGTAACATTGTTAGATTAGCAGCAGACAGTGCATGGTCAGGAGATACACACAGCTTTCACCAGATTACCACCATCCAATAAAGTGTGCTTTTGGACTTGTTTAGAAACGCTTTTTTTTTTTTCCTTCCTTTTGGAGAAGGGGGAAATGTGGATTCTGTCTTCATTCTGAAAACAGCTTTTATGGTAGGCTTGCAACTGAGTCAAGTAATGATTTCTGTATGGAATTTACTACCAAAGAGGATGGTTTGTGTGTATTTGGGGAAGAAATAATGGGATACTGCTGTCTGGGAATGAAGTTTTAGATTTTCTTCGAAAATGTGGCAGAGTTGGAAAAAAATGTGTCTACCTTGCTTTAACCTTTGGTAACCACAGTTTTTCCTTCTTCCTCAGATGCAGAGTCCTGACACGCTCTCAGCAATGTCAAACCCTAGAGCTATGCAGGCGCTGTTGCAGATCCAGCAGGGCTTGCAGACGTTGGCGACAGAAGCCCCTGGCCTCATCCCAGGGTAGGCTTATTTGGGAAAGATTTGATACCGGTCTGCCTTTTATTGGGGTTGTTGGGTTATTTCTTGGTCAGTTTTCAAAGTTACATCTGGTAACTTTTAAGAAAATAACTTAAAATGTAACGGGTTCATCTGCTGATGGGTTGTGGGTGCTTCCTCTAGGTTTACTCCTGGCGTGGGGGCCGCAGGCAATTCGGGAGGCTCTTCGGCAAACAATGCGCCCAACACTGCACCTGCTGAAAACACGAGCCCCACAGGGGGCGCTACTGAGCCGGGCCACCAGCAGTTTATCCAGCAAATGCTACAAGCTCTTGCTGGGGTGAATCCTCAGGTGACATTGCTTTTCTTTAAAGATTTTGCACTCTTAACTTAAGTATAGAATTTAAAAAAAAAAAAAGGCGAAAAGAAGGCAACAGCCATTTAGTGTTCAGGTAATGAAAAGTGCTATTCAAGGCTATTAAATCTAAAAATAGGTGTTACAGAATTGTTAATTTTGCTGCTTATTAGATACCAAAGGAAAGAATGCTTCAATCTAATGCCATAGTGTTTAGAAATAGCCTTATAAAATATGAGTTTTTAAGTTCTTTCTTCAAAGTCATTTGAAATAAGTTTTATTTTCTAAGGGTTTATCCTAGAAAACCTAAAAACATTGTCAGTGATACAGAACAGCTATATCTAGGCTTCCAACTGTAGGCTGTCCTCTCCCCCAGCACACCCTGTAGTAACTGAATGCATGTGGGCTCCTTAGTCATGGTCTTGCAGCTGTGAGCATTTATTGTCTTTACCAAGACTTACAGTTAAGGAGGCCTGGAGAAATGACTTGTTCAGTGGTTACGAGCATTGGCTGTGCTTCCAGAGGACCCAGATCCAGTTCCCAGCACCCACATGGCGGGCGGCTCACAGTGTCTGTACCTCCAGTCTCGGGGGTCTTCTCACTTCTGCGGGCATCAGGCATGCACGTGGTGCACACACAGGCGAAACACACACAAACACGTAAGATAAAGTCAAAATAAACTGCCACCAGGTTAGTTAGTGTGTTGTAATAGAAGTACACTCGGCATCAGTACAAGAGAAGGTGTCAGCTGTCCTTACTCCTTACATGGGCTTTCAAAAGAGTTTCTGCTTGTTCATAAGCCTCTGAAGTAGTGGATTTATTAAGCATGTTTTACCCTTTGTGAGAGCAGGAGAGAGGGAGGGCCTCAGGGAATCATATCCAAGGCCCCAAATAAGAGTTTTTTAAGGCAGAATTATATAGCTTAGGAATGAACTATTCTAAAATAAAATGCTAAATGACTTTTAAATATGATGGTACTTATAAATTATAACTAAATTATTTTAAATCATATTTTACTCATTTGAAGTAAAAGCACATGCATATGTAAGGATAAATGTTATGTACATAGTAAATAGTACCTGGAAATGTCCACTTTCTTTATAAAATAATTGTAGATGATCTTGTATGTTTTAGTTGAGTAAGTTTATTCTCTTTAATAAATAACCAAATATGGTGGATATATCATATCTCAAGGCACAGGTAGCAATTTAAAGAAAGCTTGGCCCGCCGGGCGTTGGTGGCGTACACCTTTAATCCCAGCACTTGGGAGGCAGAGGCAGGTGGATCTCTGTGAGTTCGAGGCTTGACCGACAGCCTCCAAAACAATACAGAGAAACCCTGTCTCGTAAAACCAAAAAAAAAAAAGAAAAAGAAAAAAAGAAAGCTTGGCCGACCAGCATACACCATTTAAAACGCAGTTGAAGTGTTTGAAGAGGGACTTGGGTTTAGCGTGGACTACCTCTCCTTAGAGTGTGCTTCTGTGTTCTTCTCAACAGCTGCAGAGCCCAGAAGTCAGGTTCCAACAACAACTGGAACAGCTCAGTGCCATGGGATTCTTGAACCGTGAAGCAAACTTGCAAGCTCTCATAGCGACTGGGGGTGACATCAACGCAGCGATTGAGCGGTTGCTGGGCTCCCAGCCATCATAGCAGCATTTCTGTATCCTGAAAAAATGTAATTTATTTTTGATAACGGCTCTTAAATCTTTAAATAACCTGCTTTATTTCATTGGGATTCTGTGCTGTTATAGGAGACCGATAGGAAGGAAGCGCCTGAGGGGGTGCAGTGAGACACACGTGCGGGTTCTTTGGAACAGTGGGAATCAATGTTTTCAGTTAAGGCTGCTGCATGCATCAAACACTTGGCATTTATTGTAATTTTTTTTTAAATATCACCTTTTCTAATTGGGTGAACAAATTTTTGTCCTGCATCTGTCTAACTTGCTTTTTAAACATAACCCCATGGTAGTAATTTATGTAGAATAAAGGCATTAAAAGCAGATCATTTGCGCTCCATGATTTGTGGTACAATATTGCTTACTGTGACTTTGGCATGTACTTTTGCAAATAATGCTGTAAGGTTTATACTACTGACAATTTTGCTTATTTGTATACAGTACAAATTACTGCACATTTCTAGGTCATCTAAGCAAAATTCCTGTAACCAAAAAAAGTAAAATAAGGATTCCTAATTGTGTAGAATCTTACAGCATCTTTGATAAACACCTCTCAGCAGAAGTGCCGTTTAGTCAGGTTTGTTGAAAATAAAGAAAAGCTGATTCTGGTTATCTCTTTAGGGACATGTAATTGTACAGACAATATAATGTAACAATATCTCAGCATTGACATAATGGCTGGAAATGACCTGTGTTTGTTCAGCTGTAACTGCTCCAGTGCATTTGCTGGGCTTCCTGCCCCACGGAGGTGTCCAAGCAGCATCGAGTGGGATTGAAATGTTGTTTTCCCTCAAAGTGCTGGCGTTTCCGTCTTAATTGCCATTAAAAGTAGAGCTATCTCTTGGGTTTATCAGCTCTCTCATTCATAGGCAATACCCACATTTAAAATGATTAGTAAGCCACTTGTTTCTGAAGTGTTTTCCTAGTTCTATTAAGAAATAGTTGACTGTTGTGCTGTTCAGAGCCTCAGAAGGGGGGTGGGGGAGGGACAAGACAGAATCTATTCTGGATTGGGCCAGCCTGAACTGATACTGGCAACCAAGGTCTGTGAAGATTCCATGCGTAAAGCAGTGTCAGTCTGGTGAGACAAAGAGCCGTTTTCACAGTTTTGAGTAAGTTTGGCTGTCTGACAGCCTCTTTCTTCCTTCCCAAAGAAGTTCTGTTTGCCTCACTCTCACACTGTTGGGGTGATACATTCCTTCGGGACCAATTAAAATATAACTTTAGGGTCAGTGAGATATGCGGCTGACTCTGGTTCAGTATTCTCTTAGGTCATTGTATTCTCTCTTGTACAGTTACCCAAAATTATAATGTTGAAATAAATAATCTAAAATGAGTTCAGACAAATAAAATCAAGGGAAATAGATGGTGAATTCTGTAACTTCTGTAACTTGCTTGCTATTAAAAGGTTGCGAGGCCAGGTTGACCCCAGACTGCCCTGCTCTGACACTGCCCCAAGAAGAGAGCGTGTACAAAGGTGGGGTGCAGCGAGGCTGAGGAGGCTGGCGAGGGTGTGCTGCGTCTCTGCTCTGCCTCACGCTCAGTCTGCCGAGTTAAAGACTTCTGTACTGGTGAAGGGACCACAGGAGGGGCTGTGTCATAACCAGTTTGATTTATGAATCACAAATTACAATAAATCCCCAGCTTTCACACTGTTGTCCTGCCTCTTTTGTAGAAAGATGTCTTTGTCTTTTCTCAAAACGTCAAAGGCTATTTGGCCTGATTTATCTTGGATTTTTTTACAAGGTGACAGGGAGCAGAAACATCCTCAGAACAGTTTATCTGTCTGCACACTAGGTCATAAAAGTGTGCTGGGAACCTAGCCCACTCCTGAAGTCCGCAGTGTGCGTGCATGCGTGTGTGTGTGTGTGCGTGCGTGCGCGCACGCGCGCGTGTGTGTGTGTGTGCTCGCACAAACATTCACTACAGCCAACAGAAATCCGTTACATTGTAAGTATCTCTTGTCTGAAATGCTCTAGGCCGAAAGTTTCAGTTTGGGGTTTTAGAGTACTTGTATCTAATGAGATATTAAGGAATACTCCCCTAGTCCAGATATAAAATTCACGAATGTTTCACACATACCTTACACAGTATCTTAAATCACTGGATGAAATAGTTTGTGTCCACTGACCTATGTGGACAGTCTGGCTGTTTGACATCATGCTACCAGTGAGCAACCATTTCTTTAAACGCATAAGCAGTGAAAAAAATATGACATACTAATACAGTAGGAGAAAAACCACATGCTCAGGCTAGACTTGCCAGATCAGCCGTTTAACAGCAACCTGCGGTTCTCAGCTGCAGTACTGTTTCTCAGTAGTGTTACTAGGCATTGGGTTATTATTTTAGGTGAGAAACGTCCAAAACGGCCCAGGAGCTGGGAAGTGGGTCTTCTAGAGGGGTGTGGGAATATGTTGCTGACTGGCTTTTTCAGATGTTGTCTCAGAATTCTCTTGTGACCGACTTGACATCTGGTAGGAATGCACGCGGCCTTCAGTAAGCCCACCGCACGGGTGGTTGCACCATGGTGTCTGGAGGCACTGGTTTGACAGCGTTGTCTTCATCGCGGCTGCGGTCATCTTGATGCAGGACCGGCCTCTCTGCTTTATTTGCCATGGCCTAGGGAGTGAAATGAAGGGAAACCTGGTGCTTGGCCGGGCGCTAGTGTCCGGAACACCCTCAATAGTCATGTTCTCCGTGGAGCTGTTTGCTGCAGGTGCTGTTTGGCTACTCCCTTTAAAATGCTGACCCAAAAAATAAATAATAAAAATTTTAAAAAATGCTGGCCCATTCCTTCTTTTGAGCTTCTGCAGTCTGCCTTTGACTCCCAGCTCCCTTCCGTCTGAGATAGCAGTGACACGCCGTTGGTATCTGACGGGCAGCACACCGTCCATCGGCATGTGCCCATCGCTGACCCTTGCCCAGGGGACTTCATTCTTAGACCTTACGCCATGGCTTCCTTATCTTTGTTGATTCTGGCTCACGGGCAGCACAGACCTTCAGCCGTCTCTGTCTCTTCAGCTCGCATCTGGCCCTATTCTCGGACCGTGCTCTTTAATAAGATGGTTTACACCACAGCGCTGTCTAGTTTTTCCACAAGGCTGACTTTCTGTGCCGTGGATGAACATAACATGCTTCTTCTTTATCTTGTCCTATCTGCTGGTCTTTCTGACATTTTAAACAAAAGCATTATACCACAGAGCAGAAAGCAAGAAAGAAAAAGTAAGAGTGCTTGTAAGTTTCGATGCTGTGCGGGTGGCAGGGAGACTGTTAATGTGTTGGACCTGTATGCCTGCCGTTTTACTGCATATTGGGACCATGTTTGGGTTCCATGGAGCTGGGCATCTGCTACAAAGGCCCGTCACAGCTGAAGAGGGCTAGAGGGGACTTTTGGGGATGGTGCTGGGTAAACTGTACCCGTGTCTTGACAGCAGTCTGTAACATGAGGGCAAGTTGTATGCTGACTCTCGAGGTTTCTGATTTCTGATTTTCACGTTAGGGATTCCCAACTGTCTGACCTGTGCACTTCTCTGGGGACTTTTAATTTAAAGGAAACATGACAGCTATTTGAATTTAATAGAAAAAACAAAGTAAAATGTAGCACAGTTGACTAAACAATTTGACAAAAGTGTGCATGATCAAAAAAAGTGGTTATAAGGCAGAGAAGTAACTGCATATTATACATTCTTCCTGGAGTAATATTAAGTGTGCTAAGCCCACTGGTAAGACTTGTTTAATAGACGCCCTCTTTACTGGTGCCAGGCACCCCTGCCCTGGCTGTTCCTACTGCGCTGTCCAATGAACATACGTGGAAGGCTGTTGTAGCACAGGTCCCTCTGGGTTCCATGCACGCACTTTTAATCCCAACACTCGGGAGACAGGCAGACAGATAAGATCTCTGTTAGTTCAAGACCACACTGAGTTACATGAAACTGATCCTGTCTTAAAGAGAAACAGATCTCACACAAAGATGATCCCAGGCCTTTAATCCCAGAACTTGAGGTATATAAGAAAGAAGCAAAGTCAGTCTGAGAATTAGTCTCCAGCCATGTTGAGGAGAAGCAGCAGTCTGGAATTTCAGTCTGAGGCTTGCTGGAGAGCAGGGCAGTCTGCACTGTACTCTGAGGATTCATTGAGACAGGATCACCCGTTTCTGTCTGAGGTAGAGGTAAGAGCTAGTGGCCATCTGCTTCTCTGATCCTCAGCTTGAACCCCAATATCTATCTCTGGGGTTTATAATTGTGTTAAGGGCGTGTGTATCTATGGGCTTGTGTGTAGAAGCCAAAGACCAATGTCTGTTTCTTTCCCTGATCACTTTCTTTGCTGAGGCAGAGCCTCACTGAACCTGGGACTCATTGATGAGGCTGGTCTGGCTGTCTCCACTTTCCCAGCCCTGGGATTACAGGCCACGTAGCCACAGCAGACTTTTCACGTCGATTACAGGCCACGTAGCCACAGCAGGCTTTTCACGTGGATTACAGGCCATGTAGCCACAGCAGACTTTTCACGTCGATTACAGGCTGGGGAGCCACACCCGGTTTTCACGTGGCTCTGCATGCAGGTCCTCATGCTTGTGTGTCAGGTACTTTGTCAGCTGAACTGTAGGGCACATGAGCCAGTCAAAGGTGGCGCTGAGAGGAAGTCAGCTTGGCTGAGTCCTGAACTGTTTACAAAAAAAGATGATTGGTGGGCTGGAGAGATGGCTCAGAGGTTAAGAGCACTGAGTGCTCTTCCAGCAACTACATGATGGCTCACAACCATCTGTAATGAGATCTGGTGCCCTCTTCTGGCCTGCAGGTATATATTCAGGTAGAATGATATGTGCATAATAAATAAATTTGAAATAAAAAGATGATTGGTTGCCTAGACTGAACCACATGAGGTCACTGAATGAACAGCTCGTGTTCCCTAGGTAAAGTATAAGGCGACTAGGAATGCAATAGGCTGACCTTTAAAACCATTGGCTGGCTGTGTGTCCCCCCCCCCCCCCGTGGTTTTTTCCTTTAGAAGATGCTTGCTGTGGGACAATAAATGAGTTCCTGCTTGACTAGACTCCCTGCTGCGTCTGATTGTCTCCGGGATCCTGGGAGGCTGGGGAAGGGGCGAGCAGCTCACTTACCCTTCCTTGGACCCAGCTCAACCTTCCGTGGTTGGGTGGAGACCCTGCACTGAGCCACCTCCCCAGCCTGTATCTGAGAGCCAAGGGTTTAGAGAAAACAGGGTGGGAGCAGGAGAGGTAGCGAGTGGCAGTCCAGGCTGAGAGGTCCCAGGCACAGGGGCTGTCTAGCACGTATCCTAGATTCATTCCTGACGCTGTGAGATCAAGAGCACCTGAGGGGAGGATGTGTCTGCTGAGTTGACAGTGCCAGGTCAGGACCCATCAATGACGGACGTCGCCTCAGATCAAGGAAGTGCAGCCGAAACCATGAAGAAACACGGCTGGCTCACTGGCCAGTTCGTAATCGGGACCACCTGCCTAAGAATGGCGTTGTCACAGTGGCTACGATAAGGAGTTTGCCATGGCGGGGTTAGATTGTAGTTATGGTAAACCCAGGGGACCCCGTGATGACCAGGAATGATCTGGGCAACACTGGGGAACACTTGGAATGATACTGGAGCTTGAAGTAGCATGTGAGATTTAGACCCTCCTCCTCCTCTTCCTCCTCCATTTCCCCTATACTTCCTTCTGCCATCCTTAACATACAGGGTCCGAGGTGTTTCAGAGGCTGTTTCACAACGTCTGTGGTCCCTACATGCCCCACAGGGAGACTGATGTCATACAATAGCCTATAGTATTCAGGGAATCAAGCAATTTATATTCTGAGGGCTAGGCCGGGTCACACAGGGAAGTTCAGCTGTATACATCACGAGGACAACCCATTCTTGGAAATGTCATCTGTAGCAAAAGCAGCGACATGTAATCTGAAGCAGACCCGGACTGATTTGCTACACCTGGGAGGGGCCCAGAAGCCCATTCCAGGGACATCCTGTGTTATGGAGGAACAGAGGCTACAGGACTCTGTCTTGTATACTTGGAGTTTTCTCAGAGTTGGCATTCAGTCTCGGGATTCTCCGGCCACCTTGAAGAGCGCTCCTGGTAGAGCCAGGATCGCCTTTCAGTCTGAGGTAGAGGTAAGAGCTAGTGGCTGGCTGCTTCATGCTTCCCTGATCTTCAGCTTGAAACTTAACCCCAGTATCTGTCTCTGGGTCTTTATTATGCGTGCCTCATGTATAGAAGAAGCTAGTCTGTTGGTAATGATCTCCATGGAGTTGATTTATTGAACTTTATGTTCCAGTATTTTAATTTTTTTGTGGAATCCTTTTTTCTGGATTTCTCATTGAAGTTGAGTTTTTCATCCAAATTGTAAATTGACTTCATCCGAAGTCTCCTGAGGTCACTCGTCCTTCAAACAAAATAATTCGATGTGTGTGTGTTTCTGAAAGTATGTTCATGTACGTGTGTGTGCAGAGGCCTTCAGAGGTAGAAGAGGAATTGGAGGTGCTGGGTCTGGAGGTGCAGATGGCTGTGAGCCACTGTGGGTGCTGGGAACCAAATGCAGGCCCTCTTCAGGCGACACTCTTAGCTCCTGAGAAATCCACCCAGACTTTGTTTTTTCCTTTTTGTGGAGACAGGTCTCACTATGTAGCTCTGAGTGAGTGACCTGGAACTTTCAGTGTAGACCAGGCTGACCTGCTACTCTGGGAGATCCACCCGCCTCCCGAGTGCCGGGATTAAAGTCGTGGTGCGCCACCAATGCCCGGCTTGGCTTGCCAGTTTTTTATGTAGCATTTCAATCTTTTTATTATCATTGAATTCAGCTATTGGAGTGTCAAGAGCAAAACAAAATAAAAATGATTAAAAAGAAAACAGTAGTCAGGCGTGGTGGCGCACACCTTTAATTCCAGCACTCGGAAGGCAGAGGCAGGCGAATCTCTGTGAGTTCGAGACCAGCCTGGTCTACAAGAGCTAGTCCAGGACAGCCTCCAAAGCCACAGAGAAACCCTGTCTCGTAAAATATAATAAAAAGATAAAATGTTGAGTGTGTGAGAGAGAGAGAGAGAGAGAGAGAGAGAGAGAGAGAGAGAGAGAGAGAGAGAGAGAGAGAGAGAGAGGGAGGGAGAGGGAGAGAGAGAGAGATCTATTACCCATCTGCAGATGGAGTTTGCTGCAGTCCCTCTTGGCTCCCGCAGGGCTGAGGCCTGGGCGGGTCAGTGTGAAGCCACCAGCATCAGCACTGATGGAATTGTATGGCTCTCCAGTCTCCGTGCATCAGCAGCTGGCTCCAGTGGGCTTTGTAGCCTGTACCCTGTTGTTCAGGCTCCCGTTCCCTCAGAGCATCCTCTGCACCCAGAGGTCATAGACGTCCCAACTGAAGTGTGTTGGAAGTTAGGGTCTGCAAACTGAACACTGAGTTCTGCGTGCAGGAAGGGGAGAAGGGGGCTTTACACTCTGCCTGTTGGTTTGAGCACTTAGAGACCCTGCCTGCAGCAAGCTGCCCTGGGCGGGAGGAGGCTGGAGAGATGCGGGATCCTAGACCTGGACTCAGAGCTCTCTGTTTCCATGGTGATGTGCAAGCTGAGGGCTCGCCCCTGGCCACGGAGGCGGACGAGCCCTGCATTCTATAGTCCAGGCTCCCCTCTCCAGTGCACTCCAGCCTCTCTCTCTGTCTGCTTCTGGTCCTCCCCCTTTCCTGCCTTTGTGGCCGTCTCCATAGCAACCCAATGGCAGAGTCCCAGGATCCCTGATGTTGATTGCTGCTTGCTTTCTGCACCCCAGAGTGCTTGAGCCCCAAGCAGTAAGTGACCCCTTTAAATATGGCAGCTCACTGACTGTATTGCACTCTGAAATATAGGGGGTGACAAGATTCATTATGTCTCAGCTCGCCTGCCAGAGGTTTAAGGCCTGTCAGAAGTGTGGTCTTGCCGGGCAGTGGTGGCGCACGCCTTTTATCCCGGCACTCAGGAGGCAGAGGCAGGCAGATCTCTGTGAGTTCGAGGCCAGCTTGGTCTACAGAGTGAGTGCCAGGACAGCCTCCAAAGCCACAGAGAAACCCTGTCTTGAAAAAAAACAGTGTTATGTTTTTTGACTAGGACAAAGTCTAGCCTGGATAGCTCAGGTTCTGCCACCTGCCTGGTTCCCAATGTGCTCGCTTTCTCTCTCTCTCTCTCTCTCTCTCTCTCTCTCTCTCTCTCTCTCTCTCTCTCTCTCTCTCTCTCTCTCTCCCTCTCCCTCTCCCTCTCCCTCTCCCTCTCTCCTTCTCTCTCTCGGGATGCAATCTCCCCTTTGTTACTCCGACTCTCAACCTCACTGTTTCTCTCTGCTGTTTTGCCACTTGAGAGTAGGGTGGCCCAAGACCTCCTAAGATGGCATGAGACAGACAGTGTCCTTCTCTTGTGGGAAGACTGTCTCGCCAGCCCAGCCTACCCTGTTCCAAGCCCAACTCACCCCACTCTTTTCTGTGCTCCCTTCTATCTTGTTCTCGGCCAAAAAGCAGCTACTCGGCAGATTTCACCTGACCACCAGCTTGAAGCATGGCTGCAGAGGTGGGCTCTCACCCAGAGTCTGGGGGTTCGCGCGACCTGTCCATGGGCCTGGGGGTTTGCGTGACCTGTCCAGTGTGTCTGGGGGTTTGCGTGACCTGTCCAGTGGGCCTGGGATCATACAGCTTCATGATTTGACAGGACACAGTCCAGAACAGCCAGGACTGTATCTGATCAGGAAGCAGAGTGGTGAAGCCTTTTTATTCAGTGTGGGACCCAAGCCCATGGGTTAGTGCTGCCCATACTGGGGTGGGTCTTCCCACATCCGTCAGACTCATCTAAAAAAGTCCCTCGCACCTTTAGTCTCAGCACTCCGATTTTGAGGCCAGCCTGGTGGATGTAGGGAGCTTCACGACAGCCAGGGCTATATAGAAAGACACTGTCTCAAAAAAACAAACAAAAATGTGATAAAAAAAAGATGGCGGGGCGTTGGTGGCGCACATCTTTAATCCCAGCACTAAGGAGGCAGAGGCAGGCGGATCTCTGTGTGTTCAAGGCCAGCCTGGTCTACAAGAGCTAGTTCCAGGACAGCCTCCAGAGAAACAGAGAAACCCTGTCTTGGGGAAAAAAAGATGAAGAAAGAAAATCTGTAACTGAACATTTCTCTTCTGACCACCCAGTCCCAAATAACCAGCTCAGAAGGTGAGTATCACTTATAAATGCTTGGCCGATAGCTCAGGCTTGTTACTAGCTAGTTCTTACACTTAAATTAATCCATATTTCCATTTATTCACTGCTACATGGCTTTTCTCAGGACTGCATTCTCATCTTGCTCCTTTGGGTTGGGCGGTGACTCTGACTTCGCCCTCCCTCTCCCCAGAATTCTACTCTGGTTCTTGTGTTCAATCTCTTCCTGCCTAGCTATTGGCAAATCAGCTTCCTATTAGTAAATGAGAGCAACACATATCCATAGTGTACGAAAAGGTTGTAAAAGCCCCTCCTAGGTCTTTCCCCATGGCCATTCTAAGTCCCATCGAGTTGACAGCCAAGATGACCCATCACATTACTCAACCAAAGGAGTCCTTTGATGCTGTTAGCAAGTCAGCTACTTGCAACCCTCTCAGGAAACCAAGCCAGCCTTTAATCCTGGCACTCAGGGGGCAGAGGCAGGTGGATCTCTGTAAGCTTGAGGATGGTCTGCAGAGCGAGTTACAGGTCAGCCAGAGCTGTCACACAGAGAAGCCCTGTCTCGAAAAACCGAAGGCAGTATAAAATGGCTTGCAGTGGGTGGCTGGTTTTTGTTCAGGTTTCTATTGCTGAGACTAATTTCCAGGATAGCATGTTTCATTCATTTGTACAAACATAGGCACGAGGCGGTGCTCTTTTAAACTAGTAATTTCTAGCTTGGATTACAGAATCTCCGCTGACCATCTGGTGCAGCACGGATTCTCTTTGGTCTTGATAACAGAAACTCGGGAGTCAGCTATGGGGGGGGGGGGGGTGGAAGCTGAAGGATCAGAGAGGCAGAGCAGCATCCACTAGAGTCCTCACCTCTACCAATGCGCAGACCAAAGGTCCAGTCCTCAGACTCCCCTCAGCTCCTGTCTCTTCCCACCTTGTATTCCTCTCTCCCACCCAGCCGTATCACTCCCGTCTCCCCCCTCCCTAGTGCTGGGATCGCCTTTGCATGAGCTATGTCTCTTTTAGGCAGATTCAGTCTTGTGTATCCCAGGGTGGCCTTGAGCTCACAGAGATCCGTCTGCCTCTGTCAGGACCCGAATGCTGGGATTAAAGGTGTGCGCCACCACGGCTTGGCCTCTGTTGCTAACTAGTGTGGCTTAGTTCTGCACCCTGACCTTCAGGAAAGCTTTATCTGTCACAGCATGAACAAGTCACCACAGTCTGGTTGCATTATGCACAAATTTAAGCTTAAATTTCAGCTTAACTTCTAACATCTTTCCCCCTTCTTCTGGCACACCAGCAGGATGCCGATCGCACCACAAACTCCTACCCACCGTCAGACAATGGTCTCCACACACTGTGGTTTGCTCCCAATTAAGAATTTAGAGTGCACCACCGGTGAGGAGCTTGGAACCAGAGCGCACTGTAAACCGCAGGCGCGAGACGGAAGATTACTTCCTCTGCAGAGCTTCCATAACGGCGTCGGCGATCTCCGCGGGACTCTTCTGGTCCACGCTGACTTGGAGGAAGTTCTCAGGGCCTGACGGGGGCTCCAGAACACCGAACTGGGACTGCAGTAACTCGGGCGGCATAAAATGTCCTTTTCGTTGGGACAGGCGTCTGGAAATGGTCTCAAACGACCCACAGAGGTAGACCACCAAGAGCTGTTCGCCAGCCAGCCTTTCCTTTGCTGACTCATCACCTTTCACGGGCACGGCACCCCTCCCTCGCGTCAGGATGTCTCTGTACGTTTTCTTCAGGGCTGAGCAGGCTAGAACAACACGCTGTCCCGAGGCCACAGCTCTGCTTCCAAAATTTAAGAAACACCCCCATAAAAAAAAAAAGATGAGGCTGCAGAATGGGGATACCGCGTGCCAACCCTAGGCGGGGGGGGGGGGGGGGGCACGACACGACGACGACGACACTAGTCTCTGCCAATGTAAAGTGTCACACCTCAGCCTTAAGTGGAGGGTCTTTCATCGGTGGACTAATCATCTTGGGCTCACTGGTTAAATGTCCCCTCAGAGCTATGCAGAGGACAGAGCTCACGGAGTACCTGGTGTGCACAGCTGTTTGGCTCCACCCCATGGGTGCAGCGAGTTGTAATTTCAGACTTTTTTTTTTTAAATTTACTGAATTATACCAGGGCCAGGTGACTTCTTACCTTAGCAAAATGTCGTGCAAGCTGCAGAGCCATGGAATCCTGTCCTGAGATTAGAACAGGAATTAGAAGCTGTCCCAGTGTTGCTTGTACAGACACAGTGGTACCGTGGACACAAACGTCAACTCCAGTGAGACCTTAGTGGTTGTGGGAACTGGGCACAGGCAGGCCAAGGGCCACACCCAGGGCCTACAGCCGCAGAAACGGTTCCCTGGTTCTGGTGTCAGTGGCTCTTTATGTCCCCTTAAGCTGCATAACCCTAACCCCTCCACCCTCCCCAGTGTCAATGTCTCCCTGGGTTTGACACTCATACACCTCGTACTGAAGCTAACATGTTCTCCGTGCATCTGACCCGAACCTACAGCCAAGCACGTGCGCTAAGGTTGAGCTCATCCCAGCCCTTGAGTTAACCCCCCCCCAGCTCTGACAGTTTCTCTGTGTAGTCCTGGCTGTCCTGGAACTCCCTCTGTAGACCAGGCTGGACTCAAACTCAAGAGATCTTCCTGCCTCTGCCTCCCGAGTGCTGGGGTTGAAGTCATGTGCCACCAACGCCCCACTGAGTTAATTTCTTTTTCTTTCTTTCTTTCTTTTTCTTTTTTTTTTTTTTTTTTTTTTTTTTGGTTTTTCAAGACAGGGTTTTTCTGTGTAGCTTTGGAGGCTGTCCTGGAACTAGCTCTTGTAGACCAGGCTGGCCTCCAACTCACAGAGATCCGCTGCCTCTGCCTCCTGAGTGCTGGGATTAGAGGCGAGCGCCACCACCGCCCCACGGAGTTAATTTCTTAATCTAACACTTGAACTTGTCTTTCAAAATGACTCCTGCAATAATGCCTTGTGGTTAGCCAAGGTTTCCTACCACATTCCAGCACTAATGGAGATGAAGAAGATACTATTATTTATAAGTTTTTAAATTTTAGCTTCTTGGATATATTTTCTTTTTTTAAGTATTAGTTACTCTATGTGAGTGTTTTGCCGTATGTATAGAAGCCCACTGAGTGCATGCAGCACCCACAGAAGCAGGAAGAGGGTGAGGGGGTCCCCTGGAACTGGAGTCACAGGCAACTGTGAGCCGTCAGGTGGCTGCTGGGAATAGAACCCCAGATCTCTGCAAGAGCAGCAAGTGCTGTTAACCACTGGGGCCTCTTGGGTACGTTCTCTGAAGCAGCCCCTCGGCCTGTGTAACAGGAGGTGTTTCAGCCTGGAAGTCCCAACGCCACCCAAGAAAGTTCTACCTCCTTCTCTGGGATTCTGTACAGTGTTGTCACCCACACCCGCCATACCCCACCACCTATATACCCCCCTCTTTCTGCATGTAAACGGCCCAGATTTACTTCTGGGGAAGCCTTCCTGCGGTAGATTATCAAGACCTTCAGCTCAGCAGGGAAAGTATGGCCTTTGAGTGGGCTTCCCCAAGGAGTGGCCTAGGAGCTGGGATATTAAAGATGAACGGGGGTCACCCGGTGAAGGAGGAGACATTCCAGATAGTGGTGGCACAGAGGACACAAAAGCCCTATGAGGAGGAACATGGCCATGGGAGGGAGGGGCTAAGGAGGTGAGAGGCTCCTGTGGCAATGGAGGAGTTCCCAATATTTCTAAAAGAGACCCAGCAAACTTGAGATCAGTTAAAAGCCGAGAAGGTCTCAGACACAGTGCTGCCCGGTGAGGTCGTTTGAGTGAGAGCGGCCCCCATGGGCTCGGATGTTAGAATACTACTTAGTCCCCAGTTGAGGGTGGGGGGGCATTAAAAGGTGTGGCCTCCGGGCGTTGGTGGCGCACGCCTTTAATCCCAGCACTCGGGAGGCAGAGGCAGGCGGATCTCTGAGTTCGAGGCCAGCCTAGTCTCCAAAGTGAGTTCCAGGACAGCCTCCAAAGCTACAGAGAAACCCTGTCTCGAAAAACCACAAAAAAAAAAAAGGTGTGGCCTCCTTGGGGGTGTGTCATTGAGGGCAGGCTCTGAGGTTTCAAACAATTTGTGCATTCCCAGTGCCCTCTGAAACTGTCAACCCAATTAAATGCTTTCTTTTACAAGATGCCTTGGTCACCATGTTTTAGCACAGCCATAGAAAAGTAATTAAGATGCGTGGCCACATCTGAGTTTGCATGATCACTGTGGCCTTGGAGTTCACCAGAACTTGATGGTGTCGGGGGCGGTGAGAGGACCTGGGAGACACCAACTTCCCTGTGTGAGCACAAAGGCGCCTCTGCTCACTTGGGGGTTAGAGGTTCAAATCCTGCAACGAAGCTGTGGCTCACTCCTGGAGCTGAGTTCATGGGAAAGTTCAGGTTCAAGGCTCATAGATAAGGAGGCATGAAACTGAGGTACTGGACACCCACAGCCACCGTTACCTGGTCGCTCAGCGGTACCCCTCTGCCCATCTTCATCCGATTCTCTTCGGAGTGGTAATCGTCAGCATCATAGAATTTCCATCCCAGCTTAGGAATGAAGGGAAGGCGAGGTTTACTGGCAGGCAGGCTATAGAAATCCTGGGTCTGAGCCTGCCCCTCCCTCTTCACCTATCATGACCAAGAAGAAACCCGGAGTGCCACGCTAAGGCGTCTGCGCAGACCCGAGGTCGTAAGAAAAGGAGAGAGGGGCGGACGAGAGCACAGTGGATGAGGGAAATTACCTTGGAGGCCAGCAGTGCGCCCACGGTAGATCTGGAGAAAGAATACAGATGTAAGTGCTAGCCGTTCTGAGAAGATGCCTGACAGCTGCCACATTAAAATCCAGGTCCCTCTGTGGTCCTAAAAGCAGAGATGTCCTTAACCCTGGAGTCCAGAGGCAGCCTTCACTGCCCTAAGACAGAAAGCAGTGATCTCATTAGACCACTGAGCCAGGTGTGGTGGGGCATGCCTGTAATCCCAACACTTGGAGCCCACGAAACCAACAAACAACTAACCACAGAGGTTTTTCTCAACAATCAGTGTTTCGCAGCTCTTTGTGGTGGCACACACCTATAATTCCAGGATATGAGAGGTGGGGCAGGAAGATAGTTGGTTTAGGCCAGTTTGAATGTCACACTAAGACACTGACTCAAAAAAAAAGAAAAAACAAGCACTCGGGAGGCAGAGGCAGGCGGATCTCTGTGAGTTTGAGGCCAGGCTGGACCAACAGCCTCCAAAACAATACAGAGAAACCCTGTCTCGTAAAAACCAAAAAAAAAAAAAAAAAACCCAAAAAAACAAAACAAAAACCCAGAGAATCATTTAGTTCCTATTGTGTAGATAGATGGTCATCTATTGAGAATACCAAATGAATAAAATGGTAGTCTTACCAAAGATTCAAGAGAGTGTTGGTTTTGTTTTCTGCTGGCCAACTACTCCAGGGCCTGCCCTAAAGTGTGGTTGGTACACCCAGTAAGAGAGTTATCGCTTAACTTAATCCCCAGCAGCACTGTGTAAAGTTCAGGGCCCACAAAGACATCAAAGAGTTCTTAGTTTCCGAGATACACTTAAGTAAGGGGCCAGAGAGGAGGCTCAGCAGTTAGAGCCCTGACTGCTCCTCTGGGGGCCCTGGGTTAGGTTCCCAAAACCCACGTGGCAGGTTGCAATCATCTGTAACTCCAGTTGCAGATCCAATGCCCTCTGCTGGCTTCCTTGTGTACTGCACCCACATGATGCTCAGCTATACATGCAGGCCAAAAAAAAAAAAAAAAAAAAAAAACCCAAAAACAAAACAAAACAAAAAAACCCACACATAAGACACACCTAAAGGACAAGGTCAGTGACTCAAGAATGGCCAACACCTGTTAGGACAGGGGTCCCACAAAGTATGCTAGAGAGGGCTGGAGCCTCAAAGAGGGGGATCTGGGCCCCATTCATCATTCTGTCACTAAATGACTGTTTCAAATCCTCAGTTTGCTCAGGGGAACGGAACCACAAGCTGTCTGTGCATTAACCTCCAGTTTATTCAGACATTTAGAAGAACTTTATTTTTATGTATGTGTGTGTGTTTTGTTTGCATGTAAGTTAGTGTACCAGCCAGGCGTTGGTGGCACACGCCTTTAACCCCAGCACTCCAGAGGCAGAGGAAGGTGGATCTCTGTAAGTTTGAGGCCAGCCTGGTCTACACAGAGAAACACTGTCTTGAAAAAACAAAAAAAGTTAGTGACCCACATGTGTGCTGTGCCCATTCAGGTCACAAGTTCTGACCATTGCGAACCACCATGTGGTTACTGGGAATTGAACCCAGGTCCTCTGCAAGAGCAGCCAGTGCTCTTAACCACTGAGCCATCTCTTCAGTCCCAACTCAGCCAGCTTTTAATTGAATATATCACCTAGTAGTTCCCAGAAGACAAAGACACGAAACCACTGGGATTAAAGGTGAGTGCCACCATACCTGATCCAAATCAGAGTTTTGCACAGAAAAAAAAATCATACTTAAGATCAAGTTAGGTGAGGCTGGAGAGATGGCTCAGAGGTTAAGAACACTGGCTGTTCTTACAGAGGACCTGGGTTCAATTCCCAGCACCCAAATGGCAGCTCACAACTGTCTGTAACTTCAGTTCCAGGGGGATCTGACATCTTCACACCAATATACATAAAATAAAGTTAAATAAAAAATATATATAATCAAGTTAGGTTAACACTGAGGCAGGTAGATCCCTGGGTTTGAAAGGCTGCACATCAAAAATCCTATCTCAAATTAAATGCTACTTAGACACCCTGCTGTGGGGGCTAAAACAGTAATTTGGGGGACATAAAGCTACCTTCTAGGACTGGGGAGATGGCTCACTGCTTAAGCGTGCATACTGCTCTTGCAGAGGGCATGAGGTCAGGTCCCAGAACCGACATGAATTGGCTGACTGCCACCCAGCTCCAGAGGACAAAAAAAAAGTCTGAAGACACCTGCACTCCTGTGTTCGGGTGTGGGCATACACACGGACCCACACACACTTGGAAATAACAAAAATAAAACTTTCGTTTTGAAAGAGAGTCCCTAGAAGGACAGACACAGTTACATTTAAAAGGCTCTGGTTCATAAGTTAACATCTATTTTGTCTCCTGTAGTTTCGTGTTGCAGCTTGGTGTCTTTGGAGTTATACCGGTGCAGACTGGTAGTGTCTATCAAACCAAATGCTGCTGCTTGCTTAGTTCCAAACTGGCTGCGCTGGGCTGGGAAGAAACTGTCTATTTTGCAGAGTTCTGGCATTTTCCATATAAAACATTCCAGCGTAAGCAGGAACACGGTCGAGGGTGGGGGGGGGGGATACCTTGCAGGGTGATCTCCACTTTTCAAACTCTATTCAGAAAAATCCAGAAACTCATCCAGGGCAGAGGGAGACCATCTGCCCAACCAGACAAAGCTTTGCCAAGACCCAGGACAAGGTTCGCCTCTTGGTTGGGACTTGGCACTCTTCCACCTTGCCTTGCAAGGTGCCGCCAGGCCCAGGTTTGTGAGGCTGAGCTGGAAGCTGTGGCGGGCTGCGTCTTCCCCGCTATAACCTTCCGCCCTGCGCTCCAGCTGCCCCTCTGCGCCCGGCCGAATGCCAGGCACCATCTGCAGGACCTCGGCGTGGTGACCCGGGGGAGCGGCCAGCGGGGCAGGGGAGCAGGGGACCTCGGCAGGGGCGGCAAAGGCAGGGCCGCCAGGGCTCGGGCCGCCCCACTGCCTCCCGGTTCCCGCCCGCACGCCCGCGAGACCTACTTCCCGGAGCCGCTCACGCCCATCACCAGCAGCACCGCGGGCGCCTCCATCTCCCGGGTCCTCGGTCCTCAGCGCCCTCTTCCGGGACAGGGCCCGCCCGGCCCTGACGTCACGGGCCACGCCCTCGCCGGCTCCCGTGCAGACTGCTGGGTGGAGCGGCCCGGGAGCCGCTGCTGGCGTCTGTCTCCAGGGGCGTGGGCTCTGCAACGCGGGAGCCACCTGGGACCCGGGGACAGCGGTAGAAACATTGTACTAACAAGGACGGCAGTGACGGACAGCGACGTGGAGCCAGGGAGATCTCTCTCTCTCTCTCTCTCTCTCTCTCTCTCTCCCTCTCTCCTCTCCTCCTCTCTCTCTCTCTCTCTTCTGTCTCTCTCTCTCTCTGTCTCTCTCTCTGTCTCTCTCTCTCTCTGTCTCTCTCTCTGTCTCTCTCTCTGTCTCTCTCTCTGTCTCTCTCTCTGTCTCTCTCTCTGTCTCTCTCTCTGTCTCTGTCTCTCTCTCTCTCTCTCTCTCTCTCTCTCTCCCTCTCCCCCTCTCTCCTCCCTCCCTCCCTCCCTCTCTCTCTTCTGTCTCTCTCTCTCTCTGTCTCTCTCTCTCTGTCTCTCTCTCTGTCTCTCTCTCTCTCTCTCTCTCTCTCTCTGTCTCTCTCTCTCTCTGTCTCTCTCTGTCTCTCTCTCTGTCTCTCTCTCTGTCTCTCTCTCTGTCTCTCTGTCTCTCTCTCTCTCTCTCTCTCTCTCTCCCTCTCCCCCTCTCTCCTCCCTCCCTCCCTCCCTCTCTCTCTTCTGTCTCTCTCTCTCTCTGTCTCTCTCTCTGTCTCTCTCTCTCTGTCTCTCTCTCTCTGTCTCTCTCTCTCTCTGTCTCTCTCTCTGTCTCTCTCTCTCTGTCTCTCTCTCTCTGTCTCTCTCTCTGTCTCTCTCTCTGTCTCTCTCTGTCTCTCTCTCTGTCTCTGTCTCTGTCTCTCTCTCTCTCCCTCTCCCCCTCTCTCCTCCCTCCCTCCCTCCCTCTCTCTCTTCTGTCTCTCTCTCTCTCTGTCTCTCTCTCTGTCTCTCTCTCTCTCTGTCTCTCTCTCTGTCTCTCTCTCTCTCTGTCTCTCTCTCTCTGTCTCTCTCTCTCTGTCTCTCTCTCTCTCTGTCTCTCTCTCTGTCTCTCTCTCTGTCTCTCTGTCTCTCTCTCTGTCTCTCTGTCTCTCTGTCTCTCTGTCTCTCTCTCTCTCTCTCTCTCTCTCTCTCTCTCTCTCTCTCTCTCTCTCTCTCTCTCCCTCTCCCCCTCTCTCTCCCTGCTCTCTTTCCTATCACACTCTCAGCAGCCCGCAGTTCTTCGCTGTCCCCACTTTTTTCTGGAACCTAGTCCCCCCGGGTCCCCCCTTCCACCCGTGCGAGCAGCAGCGTCAGCCAGTGCTGTCTTCTGCAGGAAGGGACAGAAAGCCACGCTGCAGGCGACCCCGCTCAGTCCCGCTGGGCCGATGCTGGGCGCGCGCACCGGAGCCTCGCTGACTGCAGGCCCGGGAGGGACCCCCACCCGCTGCGGTAGGGGCTCGTGCTCATCGCTGGGGCTCTCGGTGATGTCGGCGATGAAAACGGGTGCACGTGAGAGCGGGCGCTGAGCTGCCGTCCGTCCGTCCACGCGAGAACCCGCAGCACAGTGCGGGCCTTCGGAGCTCTCCCTTAGTCCGCAGGCTTCACCACCCAGACGACCCTGAACACAAGGTACTGGAGGCACATGGGTGTGTCACCAGAAGCAAAGCTTCGTCACTGAGCTCGAGACATAAACTCACAAACGAGTTTCTTCTTTTTTTAAAAAAAATGTTGTATGTGCCAGGCTGTGGTGGTGCACGCCTTTGATCCCAGCACTCGGGAGGCAGAGGCAGGTGGATCTCTGTGAGTTCGAAGCCAGCCTGGGCTACAGAGTGAGTTCCAGGACCCCCAGGGCTTCACAGAGAAACCTTGTTGCAAAAAGAGAATACCCAGTTTCCAAACTCACCGCCTTAGAGAAACGGCACAGGCAGAAACCGTTCTTGCTACTTCAACATCCAAAATTTGAATTCACGTAGTGACCACAAAGAAACAAAACAGACAAACGAAAGGTCTACCGGAGTTAAAACTAGGGGAAAGGTGAGCCTGTGTCCTCTTGCTCAATTCCTGTGTCCCTTTGCCAGGGGACACCCCTTCCTCACAGCCTAATTGCCCTCTGTTGGGAGAAATTTTATACCTAATTGAGAAAACAAAAGTGTGAATCAAGTCTCTACTGTATCCTTTTTAAAGAACAAAACCAAGGGTTGGAGAGACGGCTGGCTGTTCAAGTCCCAGCACCCACACGGCAGCTCACAACCGTCTTACAGACACCTCCAGAGGACCCCGCACCTTCAGACAGACATGCGGGCAAGTGCCAATGCACATAAAAATTAAAATCATTATTATTATTATTATTATTATTATTATTACTTTGGTTTTACGAGACAGGGTTTCTCTGTATTGTTTTGGAGGCTGTCGGTCCAGCCTGGCCTTGAACTCACAGCGATCCGCCTTCCTCTGCCTCCCGAGTGCTGGGATTAAAGGCATGCGCCACCAAGAACAGTTTGTGCATTCCAAATGAGTCCAACATGTGCGGTTTCTCTGACCCGGTGAGTTTGGAAACTGGGTATTCTCTTTTTGCAACAAGGTTTCTCTGTGTGTGGCCCTGGGGGTCCTGGAACTAGTGCTGGAGACCAGGCTGGCCTTGAACTCATCTATCTAATGCTTATGCCTCCTAAGTGCTGGGATTAAAGGCATGCGCCACCACTCCCAGCTCTGGGCATTCCTTTTAATTCCCTGAGCTCAGTGTGGTCACTGAACACAATCTGTCCACTGACCCACTTAGCAAAAGTAATTTAAAAAATAATTTGTTTTGGAAGGACGGATTTCATAACCTAAAACTTCTCCCTTGTAAGTACAAGGACCTGAGTTCAAGCCCCAGAACCTGTGTGAAAAAGCCAGGCGGGATTGCTGTTCGGCCAAGCAGTTCCCTAAGGCCTGCAGGCTGGTCATTCCAGCCTAACCCGCTTGGCAAGCTTCAGGCCAGCGAGAGACCCTGTTTCAAAAAATACCCAGAACGCCCTCTGGACTCCATGTGCAATTGTGAATGCACGTGAGTGCACACACACACACACACACGCGCGCGCGCGCGCACACACACACACGTGAAATAATGAAGTGCAAAAGGAGGAGGCAGAGGGGATAGCAAACTGTCGAGAGTTAAAATGCAAAGCCAGGCTTTACTTCTGTGAGTTCAGTGCCCCTTTCAGCCCACGGCGGCGTAAGCTTTTTCCTCTTGCCCTGATTGAGTTAAATCCATTTCCTTGTCTTTCTTGGACAGCCCCAGAATCCCCCTGCTCACTCGGGAACCCACTGTATTTTGTCAGCTCCTTTACCCCCCAGGCAAACGTGACTGCGGCCCAGCATCCAGCTCCCCATCCCCCGCGTTCTTCTGGAACCCATGGGAAGTTTTACGGAACCCGGGGGCCAGCAGGAGGCGCTCAAGGTGCCGGAGTCGGGAGCCCCAGCTCAGCCCTCCAGCTCTGAAGCCTCGGGTTCCTTACTGGTCTGCGCAGGACACCTGCCGGCAGAGGCTTGTTGAGGACTCTGTAAAATCTCATTCCTTGTCACAGTGCTGGGACACATGGTGGCTACCCAGGCCCCAGATGCTGTTACCACAGTAACCAGTAGGAGGGCGGGAGTCTGGGGTGTGTGTGTGTGAAAAGCTGTGACGTCACAGGTCCTCGGGTCTCTGCGGAGGGGGGCTGTTTGCTGCCATCCCAGGAATCTCCACTACCTGTTTCCTCTCTTCTGTCTGGCTTCAGATAGTTCTTATTTTATTATCTCAGTGTCTCCTTTAAGTCTCCCGTCTAGCCTCCTTCAACTGCTGTCTGTCCGGCTTTTTTTCTGTCTGTCTCTTCTCTCCCTCCGTCCTTTCCTCTCTCCCTCTCTTCTTCTTCCTGTTGTTTTGTTTTCGGGCTTTTATTGTTTTTGAACATCTATTTGGGCATGGGAGTTGTTTGCACATGTGACAGTGTAAGGACGGCTTGTGGGGAGCTGATTCCGTCTTGTGGGTCCTAAGAATTGAAGCATGGTGGTTGGGCTTGGAGGCAAGCACCTCGACTCTGTGCTGGGAATCGAACCTGGGTCCTCTGGAAAGGGCAGCCAGTGCTCTTAACCACTGGGCCACCTCTCCAGTCTGTTTTCAGTGCTTAAGAAGAATTTCTGTCAGTCATCAGACCTCAGCTGACAGCTGAGGATGCCCAGCGTGGGAGACACTGCCCTCCCAGGGGAGAGCACACCAATTAGCCGTCTATTATCAGGTGGCCAGCCCTGAAAACACACACACAAGGAATGTTATGCAGTCTCAGCAGGTTATGGTTAGGAATATAGATGTATTCCCACATATACTTCGTGCAATAACAATCAGTGAACAAAAAAAAACAGAGGCCATGGATTTTAGAGTGAGGAGCACATGGGACAGTTTGGAGAGAGGAAAGGGACAGTAGAAATGATGTCATTATATTATCTAAAAAACAAAAGAAATAATTAAAAATGGTTTCCCTACAGCTACTTTTATTTCCTGTGTGTTATCATGTACTTCCTATGTGATTTCAATCTCATATTCGGTGATTCCTTCCAGTGTGTGTTCATGTTAAGGAACAAGGGACCAAGCTGGGCAATGGGGGGCAAACACCTTGAATCCCAGTACTTGGGAGGTAGAGGCAGGAGGATTTCTGAGTTTGGAGGCTAGCCTGGTCTACAAAGTGAGTTCTAGGACAGCCAGGGCTACACAGAGAGGCCCTGTCTTAAAGCAACAAGAACAAAGTAACTGAGACAGGTAGGAGAGGGCTCACTTCATTTTACGGTTTATAGTTCACCACCAAGGAAAGCCACGGCAGCAACCCAAGGCAGGAATCTGGAGGCCGTGAGGAAATGCCACCTACTGGTTTTACCCCACTATCAGTCATGGCAGGGAGCATGGCAGCACAGGCAGACACGGCGCTAGCCGCCTTGAGTTGCTTCGACTCCCCTTCATGTTAAACCGTGAAATGAAATAGACCCTCTCCCACCTGTCTGAGTTA